TATATTGTATAGTAGTTTATGAACCCCTCTCTAAATATTGGTATTTTTATATTCCAGAGATGTACCCAATAGAAAAAGTAATCATTATCTAATTTAATATCCCTAAGTATTTTCCTTAGATTTTCGTCGTAGACTTTGGGTTCTGTGGACGTCACCTTGCTTCACCATATTTTACCACTAGGTGTCACTGTGGCTCTGCACCAGGCTTGTCTGGTAACAAAGAAGGGCAGTATCTCTCTCTGGAGGAGCTGCTTCCAGGGCAGCAGGCGGCCCTTAGGCTCAGAGAGTTCAGGAGGGAGAGAACAAAGGTCTGGAATGAGGTACTCACACATCTGTGCCAGTTGTACTGGCAAGATGAGCTCTTTGGACACTACCTGCTTTGCACCTTCAGCCAGGCAGAGAAGCTGGCAGGAGGTTGACTAGAACTCCCTTGCTTGGGTGGGTGGGTGGGTAGGTAGAAGACCTTTTTCCCCATGAGCACTTATCTCAGTTTCTCATGGCCTCCAACTTTTATAACTCCAGAGGTGTCACAGTTGGATGGTTTGATTTGAAGATAGTTATTTTTGTACTGCAGAAATGCCTTGGACAAAATCAGTTGCTCACTGAATCTTTGCCACAAAATGGAATAGGCTCCCTCCCCCTGGGGAGGGGGGGCAGGATGTGCCTACCCCTGTCCCAGCCTCACCTGCCCTGCCTGTCTACCCCTGGGCTGCCCACCTCTCAAGCTAACCTGCATAGGTAGCCTGCTGCTGCTCCACACCCAGCCTGAGCTGCCCTGGTATAGGGAGGTGTGGCTTTTTCTCCTTTTCCTCTAGGAATTCCAGACTGACCATCTACTATTGACTAACAACAATGAACAAAGGGCTTAGGGGTAAGAGCTACCTACAAAGACGTGTCATGGAAACCTTCACCATGCAATGCCTTGAACTCAGCTCTGGCTTCTCCCAAGAAAAGGTGGCTGGCTGGCTGGGGGCCTGGACACAAGCACAATGGGGCTGGTGGAGCCATGTGCAGAGCTACTTGAATAACCACTGGGTCTTCATCAACTCCTTTTATAACACAGACCACTCAAGGGCTGAAGTGTTGGTAACCTGCATTTCGGTGTCCCATGCCTCACAGCAGCTGAACCACCCTGAGATGCTTGTGGCCGCATGGCCACAGTCAGAGCTTTGAAAGTCAGTACCAAATGAACGCATAATTGGACACCAAAAATCAAGTGTTACTTTCATGTCTCCTCACCCATGTCATCTCATTTCTTCTGCCGACTCCGTGATATCTCCACTAAGCTGACATGTCAGGTTTTAGCTGGATGCATATAGATGCAGGCCAGCATCATTTTTGTTTTTTCAGGCAGACCTACTCTGTGGAAAGGAAGGAGCCTAGCTACTGTGTTTTTCTAGTACTTGCTGGCTGGATTTTTCTTTTGCCTAATTACTAACCAGAATATCTGGTTAGGGGGGACTCAACTCAATCCCTCCTGTCCCCAAGACCAAACAGACAGATAATTCTGAAAAATTCAGTACTTGAATGCACCTGCCTTATTGTGTATCAACTGGAAAAAAAAAAGTTAGAAATGCTGGCTCCAGATCTCCATTCACAGGTTATTTTGGAAATCTGTAAATTACACTTCCTGTTCTGGTTTGTTTCTTTGTTTTGTTTTGTTCCTTTGGCTGATTCCTGCTGAGAGGGGCCGGTTCCTCGTCAGGCTCAGGGCAGGTGCCGTTCTCAGGCGTGGCCTCCCTTCCATTACCACAGCATCTTCGTCTCTGTTCCGTCTCCTCCAAATCCAAGATGATTTTAATTAGTACAGACATGTACAGTCAACAATTAAAGAGTGATTTGTACTAATATGATTTTGATTCTTCCTCCTCTTTGCTGTCCTTTCAAGACACTTGCTGGAAAAAGCTTTAATGCACTTAGTTTTCCTTTAGGTTTTCTATAACTCAGATGTAAAGGACTTTCTCTGTACAGTATATTATCCAATGCATGTTCTCTATCCTGATATATTGAACACCACACAGTTGTGAACTCGTGCCGTGGGGATGCCCCACACCCAACAGAGGCATCTAGCCCCCTGTGTATAAGGAAAGACGTTTTCCTTTGCTGTACTTGCTTGAGCAGTTTTCTTGTCTGTACATGTGAGCTGTGTGAGATAGATGTGAAAAGTTCAATGAATGCATTTTCCTGCCCATGTATACAGATCGCCATCTGTACAATGAACTGTATGTATGAAAGCAAATGTACTTATTTATAAATGGGTAACACTTGGAAAAACATGGCGTTGTCGTGCTTTCTCCTTCCATTACAACACTCTCCAAGGAGCTGGCTCAGGCTCACCCTCACGAGGCCTGCAGCCCCCAGGAAGCTCCCCCGAGGACGACTTTGGCAGGTTAAGGTGAAGGCCAAATACGTGATGATTTGGTTGGTCTCTTGTGGGACATTCAGTGTCACTACTTCAAGCTTTATTCACTCCCTGAAGCGACTGAGCACCTCCTCAGAGCTGGACACTGTGATAGGCACTCAGCTAGAAAACGGCCCAGGGCCTATCAGCGGAAGCTCACTGCATTTGTTGAGAAAGGGAGGCTTTTCCTTCAATGAAGAGTTTTTCTCCAGCCTTACCAAGGGAGCACTGACTTCTTGTTTCATTTGAGGAGCTGAGGCTGCACCCAATCCAGCTACAATAACAAAACCCAAGGCTGAAGAGGACTGTCAGAGCTATTAAGTTTAGAGACTGTGTGCCAGGTGTGGGGGTGGGGGGGCGGGGGGAGGCACGGAGACAGCCCTAGCTGTAGTTCCCAAGGCTAACGGTCAACGCTGGGAACCCCTGCTTCTGGGGGCTTTATATTTTCTTCACAAATCTGGCCGGAAATTCCAGTGCTCACTACATAGAGAGCTAGGCAGCTGCATTGTGAATGAAGAAGTTGCAGATTTCCTGAAATTGGCTGGAGACTCCCGTTTTTTAAACAGCAGCCAGCAGGGAGTCCTTCAACCTTTCCTGCCTAGCTGCTACCTCTCTGTCTACTTCCGGGACAAGCAAGGAAGGAGACCACTTCCTTTGGACACCAGATTGTGCTGAACAAACATGCCTGCTGGGTGACTCCATCCGTTTCCCCCAAACAACCAGTGCCGGGGAAGCAAGAAAATGCCAGGCGTGCACAGTCGCCCCGGCCTGGACGCCAGGCTCGTTTATGAAGACGACGACTCGGGAAGGAATCACCTGCTCAGACTGAGAGCCATTCCTGGGCGGCTCCAGTTAGCCCATTAAAAATCAAAAATGGATAAGTGGTTGGGGGTGGGATTGGGGGAGCTTTTTAAGGATTCCTGGGACATTGGAAGAAAGGTGAAAGGTAGTGATTCCTTAAAAGCTAATTCTTAAAAAGAAATTTGCCCTGAACCTGAATAAAAAAACCACACAGAGAGCAGCAGCAAACAGCAAGTTCTCTGATGCACCCCCAAGTCCTGAGTCAAATCGCCGTAGGATTTCCATTCGCTGACAGGCGCCCTTGTAGCTCCACGCACTGCCATGTGCGCATGCACGTGGTAAGCCGACCCCTCCCCCCCTTCCGCAGGCAGAGATGGGCAGCAGGCAGAGTCATTCTCTTTCAGCTTTAAAATTGGAAGCTGGGGGGGGGGTATGGAGAAATTGGAAGGCCTGTGGTAGGAAGGCAGCTCCCTCTGAAGAGACAGTGCTCACGGAGACCACTGTCCTGAACCGCTCTCTTGCCACGCCTGTGATGTCCCCGACACGGGAATAGGGACTTCGCAGGTGAACTCTAGCTTTTGCCTCACATAACTCCTGACAGACGAAACTGTTCTCTCCAGAACACAAATGAGGAAGCAGATCCTGAGCTGAAACACAGGTAATGGTGGGGCTGTTTCCCCCTGGGCCGCGCTGCCCCTTCCTGAGAAGAGCAAGCGACCTGAAAGACCGCAGGAGCACGGGCAGTGGGTCAAAAAGGAAGCCTGGGAAATGCTACTTCACGCCTCTTTGGAGAAACAGCTCGGCCAAGGTGAAGAGGAACAACTTTGGCACCTTGAGGGCTCCACATCAGGTGAGGAGGGCTGGTCCTGCCTGATGAGGTGAACAAGGAACACTCTGGAGGGAGAGGCATCATCCCGTCTGGGATAGTTTGAATGTTCACACACACACAGAGACCCTTAAGGTTCAGAGGCTAGTGCAAAGGCCAGAGGTGAGATGCCACACTCACCACTCATGGGTCCAGGACGCCTTTGCCTTCACCCTGAGAGCCAGCAGCCCTGACCTTGACTGAGAGACCAACCTGTGACATGTATCTAGCAACATGCTTTGTGTGTTTTTAAGCAAATGAAGCTCCACGTAGAAGTCTTGGTTCAGGAGATAAGACTCTAAAGATGCATAAAGCAAAGACCTCTGGCCCATATGTTAGAAACCAGATACCACAATGAAAATAAAGGAAATGTGAGGAAGAATTCATGTCACCAAAGGATTATTTACCTCATCAGAGGATCTGCTGTACAGCTCCTTTACAGAGTGACCCCCTGGCTAGTGTAAGTCCTGGAGGTGTTGTGAGCGGCAGGGCTTTTCAGGAGCACGCAGTGCGTCCTGGTGAAATCCCGCCCAGCGTTTCCATAAACACATCTGCTGAGCCTCAGGAAGTGATCTCAAGTGGAACCTCGGCTTGTTCTCAAACATTTGCTGCTCTTCTTAAGGAACAGACATATTTTAAAAAGAAACTAGGTTAATGGAATACTGGGGGAAACCTCTCGCCTCGGCCTTCATCAGGCCCTCACAGCTCCACCCTCCAGGCAACTCTCGCGGAGAGGAAAGGCTTCCCTAGCCACGTGGAAGAACCCCCCACTGGTCCAGAGACTGGACAGTTAGGGGCCGTTTCCACTTACCTGTGCGCCCAGCCCAGGGGTACTCTGTTCCTCTCTACCCTAGTAGAACCATCTTTGTGTATCTGACTCTGCTAAAAGCACTGGCTCCTTTCATTGTCACAAGAAATGAGGGTAGCAGGAGAGACATCTGCTGTAGGCATTTATTAAATCATCTGTTGCATCAACACTACATTGTATTTCAGAAAAGACTGGTCACAGGCAAAATAAAATAAACCACCACGGATCAGCTTTCTGAGGCTTTTTTTGCTGCTTAGTCATCCAACATCCACTTTGGCAAACAGATCAGTTGACAGACTTTTATTGCAAACCTGAGGTTTCATTTCTCTATGTGGCATTCTGGCAAAGGGGACCCACAATTGTACTTTGGTAGTTTGTGTAAGGTGGAGTTTTCTCACATGTAAACATTGGATTGCACAAGTGTGTACCAGGTGACGAAAGAATCAATGACACTCCTGCCGAGTGCAGTCTAACCGAGCCAACACCCTCATCAGGCAAGACGCAGGGGAGCCCGGAGAGGCTGGGTAGGAGCCTGGGCAGCCCAGTGCCCCGAGGAGGAGGGCGCTGGACCACAGCCACCTGCTGAGAAGCACAAGGGCCTGAGGCAGGCCCCAGGGCCAATGCTGAGCATTACAGATCCGAGCGGCAGAGACTAGCCCCTTTCTCTAAGGCAGCGTGTAGCTGTGAAAAAGGCAACTGTTAAAAAAAGGGATGGTCAGATTTGGAAATGTTACTAATTTCTTCATTTACGTAAACCGTATGTCTTGAATATGTCATGTTCCCCAAAGCCCACAAAGCAAGGAAAACAAGGAGAGAGCATTTTCCAAGTCCAAGACACACAAGGTCAATGCCATGACCACGTTATTTCTAAGCTGAAGCCAAGCAGTGACTCAGCCGACAACACAACCCACGTGTGGGGTTGGGGGATCAATGTGATTTGGACTCAGTCCCAACATCCCGCAGAGAAGGGCCGTGTCAGGGCGGGCAGGTGAGGCTGGCCTCCTGAACAGAACAAGGCAGCCCACCCTGCCTTCACCTTCCCCATCGAAAGAGTGAGGGGGCAAGTGGAGCAGCTTTTCATTTTAAAAAAGGTTTGTGTCGTCAGCCTCTGATCAGAGTAGTGTCTGCCCTGGCTCGTGAGGGTGGGGACAATGGGAACCACAGGCCCAGCCGCAAAGTAAGCCACCACCCACACTGGCCTACACACAGACAGCCACCTCCTCCCTCTCCCAGCAAAGCCGTCTGGGGGCCAAAGAGTTAAAGGAAGGGAAGGCTCAAGAGCACAGCTGGGCCAAAGCCACATCTCCAGAGCCTCCCAGGGGCCAGTCCCTCCCCTCTGCGGGGGGGACCTGGCTCTGAACACCAACATAGTTTACACATAACATCACTTGCTCCACGGCCAGAGACCCGGCCCATTCGGACCACGTGTGGCCCAGGCTCGTGAGACTCCTGGTTTGAATTTAGTCACACAAAGCAAGTCTTGACTTTGCCAGGCCTGTTACTGGGGCTCCAGGTTTCTCCCGCAGCCCTTGGACTCGGCCCAGCACCAGCTGCCTCCATGGTGGGGGGGCGGGAGCGCTCTCTGTCTCCTTTAGGGGTCAGAGTTTCTGTGACCAGAACTGACCACCCAAACACCTGTGCAAAGCTGCTCCATTTGAGGAAGTGACAGGGACAACACAGGCAGGGGCCTACACGTGACTAACAGGACACTAAAGCAGCAGCGAGGAGGAGGAAGCAGAGGTGGTCAAGCCCTACAGCCCAGAAATCACTGCTCAGAGTGGCTTGCTACGCAACACCCCCCCACCTCCGTCCTGCCCCCTCCCCCACTCCGGCCAGCACCCCGGAGCCGGGAATCCACCAGCAGCCCCAGAGGCTGTGCGACAGACGCCTATCGACCCCGGCCCGAGGAGGCCCCCACAGCTGGGCCCTCCCTTCCCGCGGGCCCAGCGCAGCCTGTCACTGGGAGCTGGGGCTGTCGCCCTCCGTCAGTGTCTTGAAGTCCATGGAGAGCGCCTGTTCTTCAGCCTGGTGGGGGCGCTTCCAGTCGGAGCGAGTCAAGATGTAGAGCACGACCACGCCAAAGCTGATCAGCAGCAGGCCCAGCACGTTGGCCAGGACGCCCTCAGGCTCAAACGTGCTGTACTTGGCCCTGCAGGTCAGGGTGGGAGGGAGAAGCCACCCACGGGGTCACCGGGAGGCCACACGTCATTTGCCCCAGGGCCGGAAAGATGCCTCCACGCAACCCCGGCCCCTCCACCCCCACCCGGAGAGAAAGCCACCCTGTGGCTAACTCCAAGGAGGGCTGGCTCCGGGGGCAGAGGCCCAGGGCCACAGGACACTCACCCGAGTTGAAACAGCAGCGCCTCCTTCAGGCCCAGCAGGGCTGTGCCCACACAGAGAACGAAGATGGAGGCACCGAAGAAGGTGTGCTGGGGGCGATATCGGCTCCTCAGAGAGAACGACGCTCCCGGGAACAGGAAGAAGCTAAAGCCCACCAGCCACTGGGAGGAAAGGCGAGGCGGGGACTGGGTCAGACTGACCCGCCCGAGGGCACCTAGACAGACTGCGAACCCCTCCACCCACCCACAGGTTTCCTCCGCCTTTAGAGCCGTGCAGTGGCGGAGGTGGGGGCACTGAGCACTTATGGGAAAGGTCCTGGCCAGAGGCCTGGCCCGTGGATCGCCCCGCCTGTGGCCAAATTATGTGCGTGTCAGCTGGAAGGATGCTGGGACCTGAGGCCCCGTCGCCTGTAAAGTCCTGGCTTTGTACCCATTTGAGAATCTGAAAGCAGCATCCGACTGTACAAAAGCACCCCCTTCATCTGCGGGTGCGCCCGCTGGAAAACGGACCCTCTGGGCCGCGCGCACAGTCTCAGCCCCGGCCTCCCCTCCCCTCACCCCTGTGGCTGTGGGGCTGGAAGGACACACCTGCGCAAAGTAGAGAATGAAGACGAGGATGCCACACCAGCTGTGCAAGCTGTACAGGTCCGCGTAGCCCTTTTTCCTGTGGTAATCGAACACCGCCACCAGGCCTGGACCAGAGACAGGGGACATGTGAGGACAGGCTGATGGGGGAAGGGAGCGGGTGAGGTGACCCTAGAGAAAACCCGACTAACCGGGCCTTCTGGGCTCTTTCCAACAGCCAGTGTCCCGGCCTGGGACGCCTGGATTGGGGGGACCGGGAGGTGGGCGGGGCCGGGGAGGGGGAAAGCTTCGCCCTGGAACTCACCCACCAGGGCGGTGATGAGAGCAAAGACATGCAGCAGCCCGTGCAGGACTTTGGTGGTGCGTTTGGCCTCCTTCCTGAAGACGCGGTAGACCAGCAGGGCTGCAGGGTGAGCAAGGGAAAGTCGTGTGCTCCCCTGCCCCCCAGGCCGTCTTGCCTCGGCAGCCTGCCTTCTCTGGGTACCCCAGCCACAGGAAGTGGAGAAGAAACCAAGCCTCCACAGGCCCAGCAGGGTCCCTCAGGCTGGGGCCTCTGTGCCCCATCTATCCGACACCTTGTCAGGTGTCCTGTGTATTCCAGGCTGTGTTTTAGGCTCATCATGCAGTCACACCAAGGTGTCCCCAAGCTTCTGGGCTCCCCTTATAGCTATGATGATGCTCGAATAGTGCAAAACAGAAGGCCGACCAGATAGTCACTACTTTCACAGCAAGCGGGCTAGGAGCCAGCACCACCTTGCTCCTCCCCCAGAGAGAGGGCTGTTGGACACTCCTCACCACCCCTCCCTTGCAGATGGCCCTGCAGAAGACAGCTCAGCGCCCAGCCCGCCCGGCCTCCTCCCTGTGGGGCACACACACTCCTCCTCAAAGCAGGTGAAGGGACTGTGACCAGGTGGAAAAGAGGAGCCATCCACCGACGTCAGGGCCCCGTTCAGACTCCCAGTGTCCCCAAGCTCCAAGCCAGCTTCCTTCTCTGTCTTTTCTAGAATCTTAGATTCGTCTAACAGGGAGAGGCCTCCAGGGGGATCTGGTTTCAAGGCGCCTCCCTCGGGAGCAGGGCCGGGCAGCTGGGCAGGACTCACCGTCTCCTTGCAGGAAGACCAGGCCTATGACCATGCACAGGGGGTGCACATTGAACTGCAGGGCACTCTGCCAGGCAATGCCACCTCGGTACAGGCCGAGCCAAGCGCCAGTCACAGCCACCACAGTCAGGCCCAGCAGCTGGGAGAAAGCCACATAGTAGGGCAGCGCTCCAGTGCTGGGGCTAGCAGGACTCTCCATGCTGAGGCGGTGGCAGCTGCAGGAGAGAGAGCAGAGCTCAGAGGGGCTGCCCACAGCCTCCAAGTGACTGATCACCCCTGCCACCGCCCTCTCCCCCACCCTGTGCTGATACCACAATGCCAATAATGCGAGCTTGCTAGCCCCCCTCCTAGGCCCATCCACACCCATCCTCCACTTTCCGAGTCCCAGAGCAGCTTAATGGGAGGGCCCAGCTGTGCTGCTCCTCGATGGCCCCAGTTCCACATGCAAAGAGGGTGAAAGTAAAGGTCCTCCAAATTCTGGGGAGACAGGAGGGTCCCATGCCTACACTTCACTCTGTTTCCTGAGGTCCTGGGCTTTCTCAGGTGGGGTTCACAGGTGATATACAGAGAAATGAGCAAATTCCTTAAAGGTACAGGGTCAGTCGCATTTTGTCCTTCCAGGTGGATTATAAAATACATCTCGTGTGAGAAGTGGGGAGCCCGCCTCCCCATCTGCGGTTTTTCACCTCGAAACTGGAGCAGAGGAGTCCTGCCCAGCCCTCGGCCCAGGCCCGGCCCGGGAGCAGACCTCCAGCACGAGGGGGGACAAATGTGCCTGGGCCCCCGTGCCCGACAGGACCCAGGGGACAGGAGCAGCCAGCAGCCTTTTCCCCTTCCTGCCCCCTCTTCCCCCTCCCACCTAGGGCAGGTTGGACCTGCCCTCCGTCCTCAGGTGAAGTTTCCAAAACTGAAGGCCCCAGAAACAGACCTATGAGGGGAGCCCCCACCGCTCGGAGCCCATGGAGAGCTCCACGCACACCACTCAGCTCACACCTTCCTGTGCCAGATGAGCAGGCCACCGTGCCGGGCCACACGCAGGAAAGGCTGGCTCCCGTGGCTCGGAAAGCCTAGCTCTGGGGGCTGCACGGAGGGGCGTGTTTCCAGGCTCCTCAGCCCTGTCCCCTCAGTGTCCCCACAGTCTCACCCGGGGTCACGCTGGCCTTCCTGCTGGGTCTTCACCCTGACTCTGTCTGCTCTCCTGCCCTGGGGCCAGGGTCTCCCAGCATCTGTGAAAACATCCTGCTTCTCCTCTGTTATCAGCAGGGGATGAAAGCTGAGCGGAGAACGGTTGACGGACAGACTTTGGGGGGTCACCCCTCTAATCCAGAGCACACTCTCTACCCTTCCTGTTCGGGAACCAATGTCCAGGGGGCCCAGCCTCGTCCCCCTGGTGGTCGGCTGTCTTCACCCCGGTTCTCTTCGCCGCGTCTGACAACTGTTGGCAACTCCGCCATTTAAAGGGGTGATGTTAGTAATACGGACTCCCTACAGTATAACACAGGTCAGCAAAAATATATAACAAATCAGCACTTTGATTTATATCCTCACATTCTTTCTTCTAGAGATGTATATCCATTCTTTAAACAGGATCACACGATTTCTGACCTGCTTTTTTAACTTACTGAGAGACCGTGCATATCTTTCCACTTGTTACACATTTAGCTAGCCTTCAGTGTTTCACCAAACAGACTCGATGTGACCATCTTTGCACGCTTGCCTAACTAATTCCTAAACGGAGAGGTGGAATCCCTAGGGAAGGGCCGGGCTCCTTTTCAGGTCTTTGACACCGTCCACCGGCCATCTCCCCCAGTCTGCAGAAACACCCCCGGGGCAGGTGGGAGCCCTGGCGGGCGGTGAATCCCCACCTGGAACTCTTGCTTCTGTCCTCGTCTGTCCCCTCTACATGAGTGATTCTGAAATCCAGTGCCAGCTTTGTCCTCCGTCCCAAATCCAAGCCCCATTTCTCACTGTCCACTAACATCTCTACCCCGACACCCTCAAACGCTTCCGACTCAGCTCCTCCAAAGTCACACTCCTCTCCTGGCTGCCCAGGTGCCCGGTGCGGTGGTCCTTCCCCCGGTCCCAGCCCTGCCACCTCTGCCGACAGGCCGCCGGCCGCCGGTCCCTGGGGGCTCTCACTCAGGCCTCTCACCGTCAGTCCCTCCTGGCCATCTTCACTGTCACCAGCCAAGCCAGGGCACAGAGCTTCTGCCCATCTCTCCACCCCCTTCAGTCTGTCTGACTCGCCGGCGTCGGGGACAGGGCTGTGAGCCCGCCACACAAACAGCTGCTCCCTCCTGGCCAGTGAAATGCCAGCTCCGTAAGGTGATCCCCACTCGGTTTCCGTCTGCAGCCCCCGGCCACCCAGGGGGCTGTCACTGTGCGGCTCTAACACCGCAGCCCACAGCCTGCAGCCCGCCTTGTTTCCTATGGCTCACACTCCGGCTCCCTGCGACAGCCCCTCCTCCACTTCCCCAGCCCGCCCTCCCTACCACCTGAAATGGCCATTCTGTTCATCACTTTACCGCCTCCTCTGTGTCCCCAAGGCTGGCCTGGAGCTTGCTTGCCCGTGCTGGAGTCCCACCTTCCTGAGCTCCTGCGAGCCTCTTTGCTAAAGCGCCTGCGAGCCCCTGAAGGCAGGAGGCCTGTCTCACTCTCCCTGGCGCGTCCTCAGGGACCTCGTGCCTCCTCGGCTCCAACAAGGGAAATGTCCTGAAGAGAAATGCTGTTCTCTCCTTTATTAGATTCACCCCCAGAGAGCCCAGGGCGGGCAGAATCTGATTAGCTCCGAATTAGGAAGGACAGAAGGGGCCTGCTCTGCTGAGTGGGCTGGATATCAGGGACCATCGCTCCTGGACCTTAGGGCCGCTCAGTGGGGAGCCAGCCAGAGCTAGCGCTTTCCAACCAACCAGTTTCCGGAGGAGAAACTGAAATCAGAGTGGGGTGGAGGCGCGTGCCGGTGTTTGCGGGAGAACAGGGGACTTCATGACTAGGGAACCCCTACTTTGTCCTCAGCCCCTCGAGTCTCCCATTTAATCTTTGCGATAACACTACGATAACAGTATTCTCCCAATTGGATGGATGAAATTGGGGCTCAAAGAGGGTGAATGCCATGCCCAAAATTATCAGCAGCAAACAGCTGCTCGGCTCCGTTGTCCCCTGAGCACTTGCGGGTGCTGGACACTCTGCCTGAGGCCGCAGCGGCACAGGGAAGGCCCCGCCTTCAAGGGGCTCCTACACACGGTGCAGAGCGGAGACAGATTTTAAAGTAAAGGGCAAGGAGAATTCAAACCACGAGGTAACGCAGGCCTCGGGGCGCACTTTGCGCCGTGCACAGGAAGAGCGCCTCCGGACTTCGATGCCCTCAAGTGGCACGCCCTCTGCATGGCCTGCGGACTGGCTGTCAGTGTTGCGACCTTGCTCATCCCAGCGCCCAGTCACTCGGGCAGAGCTGCCCTGTTTCCCAAAACACTGGAAGTCCCGGGTCTGGATGGGTGCTTGACGAGCAGGGCTCCCAGGCAGCCTCGCCCCTCCCACGCCAGTCCTGCTGTGTCCTCCCCGCCCCCCCACCCCCTGCCCCGGGGGGACCGTGCTCCTAAGGCTGTTTAAACCCACATCACATGAGCACTGGTGTCCCCTAGGACTCTCCTGGGAGAAAAACACGGCAGGGCAGGAACAGATGGTTACGAGAAAAGGGGTGATGGAGGGCAAGCCAGCTGCAAGACCTTCACGTCAACTGCTCCAAAGGCAGCCCCCCCTGGTCCGTGGGAGCTGCGGGTAACTAAGCATCCAGGAGGAAGCAAGAGATAAAGGGTGACCTTTGGAATTACGGAGGCCCGAGCTGTCCCTGCCGCCCCACTTCCAATTTGAGGGTGATTTTAAGCCCAAGTGTGAGGGGGACAGGAAAACTCACACCAAGCAAGACCAGCCCACCTCTGGCAGGCCTGCGCCTTCCCGCCTGTGGGCGACCTCACAGTCAATGAGATCCAGGCGTGAAAATCCAGATTCACAAAAAAGACCAAGTAGTGAGCCATTCTGTGTTTTAGGGACGATGAACTGCAAGACTCCCTCAGCAATGGCACTTCCCCATTGCTTGTTCGGTTCAACAAAATTAACAACCAATCTCTGTGCAAGGAGGGGCTGCTTTCGAGGCTGGGCAGTTCGGAGAAGACATTTCAGTGGGGCTGGATGGAACTGACCTACCCACAACCACGTGGGCATTTGAAACCTTGCAGTAAGCGAGTAAGCGAATGTCTTTGGGTCATGCTCCTCCAGTCTGGGCAGCAAGAACATCCTCTCGCCCTTCCTTCCTCACTGAGTTGCTCTGCCCCCAGCCCCAACTCTAGCTGTTCTGGGGTGTCCTATGTTCCCAGAGCGAAAATATGGGCATTTTCAAGGGCTTGGAAGCAGCCACTCTCCGTCCCCAAGGTTTTCTTTGCCCAGGAGAGCAGCCTTCAAAGGAGAGGGGGTTCATTGGCCCCTTACATGGCCACTGTCCTTCCTCTGTCAGAGCACCGGATGTGGGTGACAGATCTCTGGCAGCTCCTGGGACAGTCAGTCCTCCCCTCCCACAGCCACCTGAGTCAGACTGCACTTTAATGGAAGCGACAGGGACAGGAGGCGCCTCGGGGCTGCGACGTGCTGAGCACCACTCTCCCTCCGCAAGCCCGCCCCCGGTTTCTTTAAAGATCACCGGGACTAATCTCATTGTGGGGGCCAGACCCTGCCCGGTCCTGCAGCCTGGAGGCAGGGGGCCTGGCCACTGCCCTCCTTATCAGCAGCAGGGATTTAACTGAGTTAGAATAGACTGTGTTGGGGATGGGGCTAGATCTTTTCTTGAAGGGAAGGGGGGAAAATCTTAATTGTTCTAGAATGTCCTAGAATATGATAAAAGAGAGGCCAAATGAGGACTGGGCTGCTAGATGGGGCACTTTCTTATCACCCCACATCCAAGTAGCCCCCTGAGAGGCAGAGCTGAAAGCCAGACACTGACCCCACTCCTTCGGTAGGTACAGGGGACGCAGTGCCAGGGCTCCCATTACTCGTGGGGACCCCCGTCCCCCACAAGGTTTTATTTCTGTTAAAATTGGGTGGAAAAGATAAATTTGGTGGTTAAAGAAAATGGTTATTTTGAACCCAGCCAGGACTATATTTGACTTTATACCAACACGGTTGCAAAACACGGTTTGTGTGGAGGAGGGGTCTGCACAGGGCTAAAGCACCTGGGGCCCGAGAAATTCTCCACGCAGCCCTGGTCGGAGAGATGCAACCTCGAAGCCAGCCCCGCGGTTTGTGAGTGTGGGCTCCCAGGCAAGCCCAGTCTCCCTGCCTCTGCTTCCTCATCCCTAAGGCAGGAGGATGCTGAGATTCATTCACATGACCGGCCTGAAGCAAAAATTCAGTGGCATAAATAAGTACCCATGCCTAGCACAGTGCCTGACACACAGTAGGCATTCAGTCAACAGCAACCTAACAAGCACTGAATCTGGTCTTAATCGGAAGAGTCACACATCAAAAGCCGTTGACACATGAGGTTTGGAGCCACAGAGAGCGAGGTGGCAGCGGACAGCAACACCCCCTCTGATAACTCCACACTCCCCCCTGTCCATCATCAGCTGTCCACAGAGTGGAAGCCCCTGGGTCTGGGGTGGCTCCTCCACCAGCGCCTTCTGCTGCTGCCGAACCACTCCGAGCTCTGCGGCCAAGGAGGGGGGCAGGGCAGGGCAGGGAGGCAATGGGACGAGGAGGGTGGCTCCGCGCTGAGTTCAGGAGGCTCCTCCTAGTGGGGGCGCGGCGGTGACGCCCTTTCTCTGTGCCGGGCTCACCTCGACGATTACAAGTGGCCCCGTATGTTCCTTGATTTCTCAGAAATCAAGGTATCTACAAGAAGTTGGCAAAGCTCTTTTGTTTGTTTAAACTTGCTCTGAAAATACAGGAACAGAATCGAGACAGCCTGAATAATGGCTCGTAGGAAATCCTCAAAGCCCACGGAGGTAGAATGAACGAGGAGAGGGGCAGTCAGTGCGCGGAGGGACCTGGGAGGGGCGCCAGCCTCCGATGACCTGTCGGGACTCCGGGGTCCACATGCGTCTCTTTGGTGTCCTGGGGGAGAGGTGCGCAGGGAGGGGCGGTGGCCCTGCCGCCCCCCAGGAGTCAAGGGCAGCAGCAGATCCCTGGGCGCAGTTCTGCACCCCCTGAATCCACAGTTCCCGCGGCCCATCAAAGCCAACCCAAGGAGTCAGGGTTTCCCAAATGACTTGGGACTTCCCTTGGTGTGCAACTGCTGTTCGCACACCAAGAAGCCGAGGATGTCGGAGGAAAGCCAGAGGGGTCTAGCCACGTCAGCCCTGCTACGGGCGGAGGGAGGTCGACAGTCCCCGTTTCAGGTTTCAAATGACCAGTCGTGGCAAACGGTGCTTGATCGACTTCTCTCAGTCTTCTACCCTACTTCTGCCCTGGCCATAGAACGTGGCAAAGTATTAGCCATAGGCCCATAGATAAACTGCCCCTCCATTCTAACTTCCTCAGACTCGCCACAGAGGTAGCCCTGGGGCCGAAGGCTCAGGAACCAGATACGCTCTGTGACCTCGGGCCTTGCCCGGTGGCCCCGGAGCCAGGAGAAGCAGGTGACAGGAGAGACAGGTGCGGCGGCAGGTGAAGGCAGAGAAAGACTCCTGCGGATCCCGGAGCCCCGCCTGTTCCAGCGCGCGGTGGGGGCTCACCTGCGCCTGCCCTCCCGCCTTGCGCGGGCCACTCCGCGCACACACGCGCCCCCCGACACGCCTCGCTGGGACTCCGCGCCCCCACCGGCCCGGGCCGCCTACCTGGCCTGGCGCCGGGCCCGGAGCTCGTCCCCTCCGCGCTGCGCCGCCCACCGGCCCGCGAGCTCCGTGCGCCGCGCCCCGGCTGCTCAGCCGGTTCTGCGAGTCGCGCGCCCTCGCTGTCACGGCGTCGTCATGGCGACCGGGCGGTGGTGGCTGCTTGGCCGCGAGGCAGACGACGCGACGAAGGTCAAGCAGGGGCTCGTGGGGGGTGGAGGGGGGCTGGAAGTACCCCGCCGCGTCTCCTCACTCGCTGCAGGGCCTGGCCCCCAACTGCCCCCCGGTCTCGGAGCAGGGCCCCGTTAGATCCCGGCCCAGGCCTGGACGCTCGCGTGGCACGGGCCGCGGCGCAGGGCTTTGCAGGGCCAGAAGGCAGCCACCGGGACCCGGCCTCTGGGCCGGAGCTCGGGTAACCTTTCAAACTCGGGCCTCGCGACCTGGCTTGCGGGGTCTCCCACGTTCGGGCCCGCATGGGGGAGCCTGCAACCCCGTGGGTGTGGACGAAGCCCTTGCAGCTCAGGCCCAACTCAGAAGCTGCGGGCGAGGCTGGGGAGATGAGCGGTGCAGGGCCCGGGTCAGGGGCAGAGGGAAGGGGCGCCAGCCCGGAGCGCAGCGGGCCTGGCCCACCGGGTCCCCGCACTTCCAGATTCCCTCCCTTCCTTCCCTCTCACCTTCGGCTCTACCCTCGCCCCGCCCTGGGCCTAGGTGGCCACTAGGTGTCAGACACTGCTCAGTCCTTAGTCCACGTTGCAGCCCAGAGGAAGGTGACTACAGAAAGCTGGTCATCCCTCTTCCCGGGTCCGCCCCCCACCCCACTACACACACACACACACACACACACACACACACACGGTGACGTTTTGCCCCTTTACTCAAGCCTTTGCCTGAGACAGACTACCCAACCCCCCAGGCCAACCAAACTAAGGATACAAAATCAGTCCTTGCCAACGTCTCATAAAGGCCTACACTGCCACGGGCCACTAAGTGAATGTTGGTGCCAAGACCAAGGTTAGGAACCAGCCCCTACTGCAGCCCCTCCAGGTTCTTTTTCCAGGAAATGGTGTGAGTCGATAACAAGTCCAGCTCAGGCTTCCCTCAAGTTCAGAACAAAAGGTTCTTTCCTGTTGAAAGCCTGGCAAGACTCTCCAAGGCCCGAGGGTGGAAAGAAATGGGGTTTCCTCCCCTGGTCAGATAAGGGAGCCTTAGCAAAGGAACACCCCTCCCCCACCTGTCTCCAGCACTGTGGGCCTCCCAAGGGCAGTGGCCAAAGGCTCCTGGAGGGCCCCAGCCCAAGCGGGCCTTGGGGAGTCACACCCCTTACAGAGAGAACATACTTTCAAGCACAAGGCAAATCACACAAGGATGCCCACCCCTCAGACAGAGTGAGCTTACACCCTCCACGAACATCAACTTTATTGGAGTAGCTTTCCAGCTGGAGGGAGTTCATGGACATTTTAAATTAAGAAACAGCTTCCTCAGGGTACCAACAGGCAAGCAGCAGGCAGCAAACGCCTTGAGAGTTGAATGTGTAACTGAGACATTCTTGCGGCAGGCAGAGCGCCCATGCAGAGCAGCAGCGGCTGGCCCGGAGCTCCACTCCCGGAGTGCTGTCAGCAGCCCCTTCCAAAGCCAGGACAGAGACTCCTGCTGGGCTGGGACGGGCCCTCTAGGTCCTTCCCCCTCCCACACACACACCCTTTCACCACCACCACCACCACCACTGGCCCAACCATGGCCATGCAGCCCCCCTTAGGAGTGCTCTCAGGGGCCTGCCTAAAGGGAGAGAGGATGTGACACAGGCTGCCTCCATGGGGACCAGCTGCAAGGGGTCCTAGCTCTAAGGGCTCATGGCTCCAACCCAACCATTTCAAAGAGCAGGTGATGCCAGCAAACTGCAGTCAAGGACCAGGGCCCGTGGCCTTGCCCTCTGTTACCAGAATCCCCAACCCAGGATAGCAAACACTCACTCTCCCTTCCTGCCCTCTCCCTGCTGCCGAGGCTCCTGCCCTGGAAGCCACCCTACAGCTGGGGAGGGGGTGGGCAGGGAGAGCAGCCTCAAGACCCCTTCCTGGGGACAGAGGATGTGGCTCCGGACATTTTCCATGCAAACTCCTCCCCTCACACCAGCCCTTATGGTTTTCAGACTCACCAAGTTCATTCCCACGTCTCCTTTGGAACACCTTGTCCCCCATCAATTAATCATTTGGCTCAGTCTCATCTGGGAAGATGCCCTCGTCACAGAGGCCCTCCCTGACCATCCAGTCCAGCAGCTGGGGGCGGGGCTGAAATGCAGGGAGATACCCCAGGTTAAGAGTGCTAGTGACAGTTTTGGGACACTTTGCCTTGCACTCACTCTGTTTTTTGGCAGAAGACATGTGAAGAGCAGTAAGAAGCCAGACAGTGAGCAGAATGTACCAGGCACACGGGTCCTCAGATCCCCCTGCACCTGGCTCATCGTGTCTGCCCTTGCTAAGGTCACCAGATTCAGAAAGAAGGAAAAACCCAGGAAACCCAGTTAAATTAGAATGCAATATGTTTTTTGGAATAAGTATGTCCCACATGTAACATGTAATATAGTACAAATATGTTTGGGGTTTATCTGAAATTTAAGTCTAACTGGGTGTCCTGTATTTTATCTGGCATTCCTACCCTTGTTCCCGTGTAGGGAGGACAGGAGAGGGGCTGCCTGGCCACCACGGTCCTCCCGGGGCGGCTCCCCTGCCCACAGCAGGCTGGAACACCCCGTTAACTCCTATGCGGCATGCAATTCAGGCGGAGGCCTTTACCTCGGGCTGCAGAGAACACCGAAGGCATAAGCGATGGAGGCCCTAGTCCTAAGGCTGTGTAAGATGCAAACTCACAAAATTCATTCATTCTTTTTAAAATATATTTTATTGATCATGCTGTTACACTTGTCCCATTTCCCCCCTTTATTCCCCTCTGCCCTGTACACCCCCTCCTACACACATTCCCCCCTTTAGTTCATGTCCATGGTCATACATATAAGTTCTATGGCTTCTACATTTCCCACACTATTCTTACTCTCCCCCTGTCTATTTTCTACCTACCATCTATGCTACTTATTCTCTGTACCTTTTCCCCCTCTCTCCTCCTCCCACTCCCCTGTTGCTAACCCTCCATGTGATCTCCATTTCTGTGGCTCTGTTCCTGTTGTAGTTGTTTCCTTAGCTTTTGTTTTTGTTTTTTTTTAGGTAAAGTTGTTAATAACTGTGAGGTTGTTTTTATTTTACTGTTCATATTTTTAATCTTTTTTTCTTAGATAAATTCCTTTAACATTTCATATAATAAGGGCTTGGTGATGATGAACTCCTTTAACTTCACCTTACCTGAGAAGCACTTTATCTGCCCTTCCATTCTAAATGAAAGCTTTGCTGGATAGAGCAATCTGGGATGTAGGTCCTTGCCTTTCATGACTTGGAATACTTCTTTCCAGTCCCTTCTTGCCTGCAAGGTCTCTTTTGAGAAATCAGCTTGTGGAGGAAACCAGCCAGCAGTATCCATCTCAGCTGCGATGCTCGTCGAAACACGAGAAAAACATACACAGAGACAACCAGGTCCTGTGGGGGAATAGGGACAGAATGGCCATCCTCTCTCTAGCGGGGAGAGTGCCCCATGTCCATACCCAAGCAGATTTTTATTGAGAAAACAGACTTAGTTTATGGATTCACAGTCTGGCAGAAAAGATCAAAAGATGTAGGCAACTTACAAAGGTGGGGACAGAACTCCTGCTCTGATTCTGGGCATGGTTTGTGGTCTTTAACATATGAAAGGGCTATAGGTTCAAAAGGTTTCCTGCCTGTGTTTTTAAATTCCAAGTTAATAACATCCTCCAGCAAACAGATCTCACAGGATCTTGCATATTCTATGTCCCAGGCCTGATCAGCCCCAGGGTCCACATTTTTGGTCTGGGCTGCACCGCCCCTGCAGGCTCAAAAGACTCAGGCTTTGACAAAGCCAAAGGGGGCAGGGGTTGATGTTGATCACCCCTTCATTTCCACAGCCCCAGTGAGTTTCTTCCCTCAGGCCATCCCACGTGATCAAGTCTGTCTTAGATTCATTCTCTTTCTTAGAGAATTGTTACCCATCATTGACTGCCGATCATGCAAAAGGGAAGCCAGGCATTAGAACAGGCAGCGTTCATGCCAGGGAGATGAGATTTGTCTCCTCAGTGGCTCCTGGTCCGGAGGTCTCTCACTCAGCCTAAGTCACAGGGGGTTACAGCTTCCTGAGACCAGGCAGGGCGGTCCCCAACATCAGCTGATATTTTATGGGAACTTGTTTGTAGATAACTATCTCCTTTTCTCTTGCTTTTAAGATTCTCTCCTTCTCTTTAATCTCGAGTAATGTAATTACAACAGCTTTACAGAGTCCCTTCCACGTGGCCACTGCTGGGCAACGCTGGGGACACAACACTGAACTCGTTCTCCCAGGCATGAGGCGCCAGCACATGGACACAGATGTGAGGGTCAGGGAAGGCTTCTGGGGCGGGTGCACAGAATCACAGAGAGACCGGGTGACAAGGGTTAACCTGGCAAAGGGACAGCAGGGAGTGGGCAGCAGTGTTCCCAGCCAGAGAAACAGCCGAGGGAGCAAGAGCTCGCTGTGCTGGAGGGAGGCGGACGAGGCCTGACGAGTGCACCCTGGGTCGCCTCTCGGGGGGGACCCCCTTGCCTTGCCTTGGCAAGTAACTGAAAGACACATACCCTGGCCAGTATACAGAGGGCTGAGGAGCTTGCTCTGCCTTCCTTGAAAAGAAAACTAGTCTGAATGGGAAAGTACATGGCTGCTTTGATGAGCTTAAAATGAAACTGTAATCACTCAGGGAAAAAAAACCTATCTTCCAGCTTCAGGGGGAGCAGAGGGTGCGGGAAAATAGCGGCCCGGCAGGAGCAGCCAGAGTGTCCAGCAGAGGAGCAGCGACGGGGCAGAAGAGGCGGACAGGCAGCGAGGCAGGGGATTGGACACAAAGCTTCCTGAGCCACCAATGAAGATAGTGAGTCGCCTGGGACCTCCGAGGGGATTGGGCTGAGGGGAATGAAAGGCTGTGAGTGTGTCCTGAGCCGCCCCTGAGTCTGGTCTGGCCTGGGAAAACAAGACCGACAGGTGTGGCCTACCTGCTCGTGAGCCAAAATGACACTGCAGGATTGATAGGGGACTCAAAACTTGGAAAATTTAGCTTAAGGTAAATAGTCATAAATCTAGCAAGTAATATGTATGTTAAGCTTTTGTTTCAGTAACTACAGATAAGGCCTATCTTGGTGCCTAAGAATAAACAGATGACCTCTTGGAGACCTCTGTGCCAGGAAGAAGCAAGGGACTACCCTTCCCCCTTGGAGGCAACTGTTGAATTTCAAAGGCTTTCGCTGACACCTTGTTTGGCCTCCCCCAACTCCCTTATAAAAGATCTGGCTGGGAAAGAAAGAGTAAGATGGTTTTGTTAGGGTATAAACCCGCCGTCTTCTCGGATCGCCGGCCATCTGAATAAAGCGCCTATAAAAGATTCAATCACTGTCATTGCTTATTGGATTTGGTAGTGACAGGCAGCCCGAATGCCGGTGTCTTTTCCGGTTACAGGATGGCTGGAGAAGCAACAAGAATTGGGACAGTCGAGACGACTTCTACCTCCACCAGACCCCAAGGGAACAGGACGTGAGAGGGATGAGCAGTGGGGGACCGGCCTGGTGCAGGAGGTGGCGGGACAGCACTGGGCCCCCAAGGTGGGAGGCAACGAAGGGGTGACCTTTCCCAAATTCCCAGGGCAGCTGGGGGGTGGTGGTCAGAAGGAAGTCGATTTCCCTTCCTCCCCTCCCTTTCTTCCTCCCTCTCTTCCTTCCTCAATTCCTTTCTCCTTTCAACAAAGGTTTACTGCCCACTTCCTTGTGTCGGGCACTGTTATAGGCCTCAGGGAGACAGTGACTGGAAAGCCAGACAAGGTCCCTGCTTTCAGGTAACTTATGCGAAGTGGGGAGACAAGTCATTAGAAAGGAAATGAACAAACAACATATACACACTCACGTGCAAATGCACACACACACAGAAACCTAACCACAGGTCGCAACAAGTGCAAGAAGAAAATAGAGCAGGAGAAAGGGCTGGAGCGTCGTGGGAGGGAACCTTATTTTGAGGGGTGCTAGGGAAGGCTCCTCTCTGCAGAGAGAGGAGTCGGGGTGCAGCCAGGTGAAGACCTGGGGGAAGGCAATTCCAGCGAGGGAAAGGATGGAGGGGCAAGGTCCTTGAGGCAGGGATATACGTGGCCCTGCCCCCAACACGCCTCTTCCCGGACACAGGAGAAGTGGGCAGGGAGAGCAGAAACGTAAACAAGTCTTTAGAGAGGGCAGAGGTTGGGCGCAGAGGTGTGGAGCGGGGATGCCGCCAGTGGTTCCTGAGGCGCCTGAGTGTCCATAAGCCGGCCATCGGGGCTGTGTCTGACCACGACCACGTTGCACCATGCTCTGCAGTCTGGACGCTGGGCCACAGTCAGCAGGGCACTGCCAGGCTTGTCCAGCCCAGAGGGTTTGGCCTGCGGCTGATGGAGTGGCCTGAGCGGGAGGCGCCAGCCCAGCGTCTCGCTCGCCGGGCCAGCTGTCCCTTCCAAGAAGGAAATCATGAGGAGGTTGTATCCCAGTCCATCCTCCATCCCCACCTCCCTGCTTCCCTCCCTGAGTCAGTCAGCCAATCAGCAACCATCAAAGGCCTGCTATGTGCATGCTACCCACGTTGTGGAGAGCGAGAAACACCCCTGGGAGCAAGACTGTGCAGCCTGGGGTGACGGGGTGGCCGCCACCTTGGGCGGGTCAGCAAAGGCTGGAGAGGGAGGGGGCGGAGCTGCTGATATTGCTAGACATCTAATCACCTCCACAAACCAGCCATAAATGGCATGACAGGGACTTCTGCCCTTGGTTCAAAGCTTATGACAGCTCTGAGTTCTCATCTTGGGTCCTAAAGCCATTCCAACTCTCAGCCTGGTTCGCAGCCAAGTCTCCTATTCCCCGGGCGGCAGTGAGGAGGAAGCAGTAGCCGCTCTAAGCCAAAAGCGCAGGCGACCAAGCCACAGACCAGAGGACGCCCCGCGTGGGAGACGGGCGAAGGGACAGGCCGTGTTCCCCAGCTGTAGTGCTGTGGCCGCGCTCGCCCAGAGCAGGACCCCAGCCAAACCCAGAAGAGCAGAAAGAAGGAAGTGGTCACATGAGGCACTGTCCCTGATGAGGGCATAATCCCGGGTGACTTCTGAGGTCACCTCGAGTCAGCAGCACACTTGCCCTGAGTCAGACGTTTTGCTCACCCTGCTCTGCTCCTCCCCTGTCTCCGTCCCATCTACCACTCTCGACCTTGGCCATCGCCTCCTGTCTCAAGGGTGCCCATTAGGCCGGCTGATCCTTGCTGAGAGCAGGTTAGATCTGAAGGCACCTTGACCTTAGCTCAGAAGCTCCCTCACTCAAGAAGGCCCACTCCCAGCCAGCAGGAGAACCTAAGAGGTGAGCTGGTGCCAGGGAGAGTCACACCACTCAGCTGGTCCCCGAGGGGCCGGTCCCTGGAGCAGGGCCAGAGCTGGGTCCTCCTGCCCTTAACAGCCATGGATAGCTCAGGTTTTCTGGGGGGGCTCGGTTCCAGGCCTCACCCCAAAGACCCAGGTCCCAAAGGTGGTCCCCAGGGCCTGTGCCTGTTGGAAGGCAGTACTGCCCGGGGGTTAACAAGCCGTCACCCACCCCCACACCCATCGTCCATTGTATGTTGAGTCGCCCCCACAGCGTCAGGGGCAATGTCGGGTCCAAATGGCAGGACGTCAGGTGCTCCCACTTATCTCAAGGAGTTTGCTCCCCTTCCACAAACCTCTCTTCACCTGACAGATCCAAACCCGCATGCATGCATACACCAGGGCTCCGTTCTGGCTGCCTCTCTCCACTGCAAAGTCAAGCCCCGCGGCACCTGCCTGCCTGGGCGGCTGCCGCACCAGCAAACGCAACAGCCCATGCCAGTGAGCCCGGCTCCTAGGCTCGAGAGGGGCCTGGCGCTCTGTCTCCTGGCCTCCATGGCCTCCCCACAGTGCATGGGGGGTGGGGGTGGGGTGCGGCCGGGTCAACACCAGGCCTCCCTGAGAAGGTGGGAGCCTCTGCAGAGCCCGACCCATCCAGGTTCCTCCAGGGACGGGCTTCTCCCCAGCTGCCCCTCCAAGGAGGTCCGCAAAGAAAGAAGGGCCTTATTTCCCCGTTATTTCCTTCTCCTCTGCATGTGAGTCAACCCACCCATCCTGCTGTCCAGAGCGGGGGGTGACGGGAGGTGGCTTCTGGCTGGCCACAGAAGTCCACTGCCACCTTTCCCTCAACGTGGGACTTTCCGCCTTCAAGGCCCACTCAAGAGGCTTTCCTAAAACGAAGTGAATTACTCCAAGGTAAGGAAAGGACAAAATGCCATTTTCTCTCCTAGGAGGCCCTCCTCTGACCCATCTGCGACACCTTGCAGGCGGAGTCTGTTTATTGAAGGGCCCTGGGGGTGGGCAGAGGCCAGGCAGAGGGCTCCTCCGGGGTCTTGGGCATTCAGAGGGCCTGGCAAGGGCCTCAGATGTGTAGGGGTGAGGGGTGGGCCCCAAAGATGGATTTGCCTCCAGCCTCTGGGCCCAGGATGGAGGCTGTTGGAGGCCCACAGGGCGCCCCTCCCGCAGCCCAGCGGGGGTGCTGGCCGGACCTGCAGCTCCAGCTGCCACAGGGATGGCAGCTGTCCCTTCCGCTCTCCCTTCTCCGTGGGTCCCCAAGTTTCTGTCTCTGTTGTCGCTGCAGGTTGTATTGACTCTCTTCTACTGTGTCTCTCACAGCTTCTCTCTCACGGTCTCACTCGCTCTCGCTCGCCTTACTCCATCTGTCTTCCTGTTGGTGGAGGTTCCCTGTGCATCCAGAGTGTGGGCGGACCCATTCACTTCCTGGCCCCTCTCCGAGAACAATGCGTAAGATACACACAGGTGCTGGGAGGGCTTTAGGGCCAATTAGAGCCCCCAAGTTCCAAGCTGGGCCCCAGTGGAATTGGTGGGGGGGAGAGGGTCGCTGGCACCCAGCCAGGCCCCCTGAGCGGGAGAGAGATGGTGGTGCTGAGGCCAGCGCGGCCTGGGCACCCCCCACAGCCCCTCACCACCGCCACACCTGCCCTCTGCAAAGGAGCCTGGAATTCATTCATTCCAGTCCAGCCCTCAGCAAACTTGCCATGTCCGTGGGTGGCCGGGGCTGCGCCAGGCCCTGGAGAGGTGCGTGTGAAGGGGCCCGGTTCCTGCCGTCCTGCAGCTCCGTGGAAAGACAGGTGCGCAGATCACTGCGGCCCTCCTCACGGGACACCGTGCCGAACGCCACGGATGAGCTTTGGGATCAGAAAGGTCAGGTCAGCCCTTGAAGGACAATGGGTGATGACCAAGTATGGGTGGGGGTGGGGCATTCCCAGCAGAAGGGATGAAAGGAAGGGCCCAGGGGCCCCACGAGGTCAGGGTCGGCTGGCCACTCCGGTGGGGCCAGCTTCTGCGGAACACGGACGCCGAGTAAGGACAGCATCAAAACACGCTTCATTTTCTCTCTTTACCCTTTTATGAAAGAAATAATATTTTAACTACAAAAGAAAAGAAAGACTATTTGGAATAAAAGGTTTTGTAACCCAGAAAGGACAGCTGCAGTCCAGCTGCTAGAGGCTGATTGTTTTTGTACACCGCACAATTCTTGTTTTTGTCCAGTCACTGCTGACTCTTGAGCACTTTATCAGGGGCCCGGCCCACCCAGGGCTGATCGAAGGACTGTGGCGGTAGGGCGAGGGCTGGGTACGTGCAGGAGGCAGGGGCCACCCCAGGAAGGACTTTGGGCTTTACGCTAAGGAGTAGGGACTTTGTCCCTCAGGTAAGGACAAGCCAGGGAAGGGCTTTAAGCAATTCGATGCTGTCATCATGCTGTCATCAGATTCACACCTCAGGACAAGCATCCATTCTCTCAGCTCTGCGTTGGACGGACTAGAGGGAGCAGAGCCCGAAGGGGCCAGAGGGCACCGAGGGTCTGTAGTAAGCTGGGGTCGGTGGCAGCAGGACTGGGGCAGGGGAGCCAGGCACGGGCTAAGCAAGGAGTGGCCAGCATAGGGGCCTGATGTTCCTGAGACGAGAACCCAGTGCGATTGTTGGGGTCAAGGAAACAGGCTCCATTTCTTTAAAAAAATGTTTTCTTATTAGTAACATATATTATGTATAATATAAATATGTGCATGCATATGACATCTGATGTACATGTAAGTCCTGAAGCATAACAACAAAATGAATACCCCCGGACGCACGGCACCACGCTGTTCTGTCTAGCTGAGTCCCATCCGCCCCCTCCCCTCCTCCTGCCCCACCCGCACCCCCGTGTTTGCCGTTCTCTTCTCTGCCCGAGAATAGCTTCTGTGTGTGCTGAGTGTCTCACACTGTTTATTCTTTCTCGTTTTGGAGCTTTATTTAATAGGGCACCCCCCAGATGTATACCTAAGAGAAATGAAACCATGTTTGAGCAAAGACTTACATGCAGACAACCTTAGACCAAGTAGCCCCAGATAGACACAAGCCCAGGTCCGTCAGCTGATGAGTGTGTAAAGGAAAGTGGCACTTCCACACCGTGGGAAGTTATTTGGCAACAAAAAGGGATGAAGTTCTGATACATGCCACAACATGGGTATGCTCCAAAAACACGAGACAAAAGACTACATATTGTAAAATCCCCCTTAAGTGAAATGTCCAGAAAAGTCCAGTCTGTAGAGACAGAGTGTGGGTCAGCGGTTGCCTGTGGCTGGGGGAGGGGGCGGGGAGTGACCAACGGTGGACACGGGGTTGTTTGGGGGGTGAAGGAAATGTACTGAAATTAGTGCGATAGCACACAATTCTCTAAACTACCTAAAAATCATTACGTTGTACACACAAGATGGGTCAATTATGCCACAACACAGAAATGTACATTATACTTCCATAAAACTTTTTTTAAAAAAGGCATCATACTGGAGTCTTCTGAAGCTTGGTGATCCCCCTCACTGCCGTGTTTCTGAGGCTCTGTCCGTGCCACTGCGCACACAGCGCAGCCGCTCACTGGTCTTTGGGGCCTTCACCCCGTCACTGGGCATGGGAGCGACCTCTTGCTCTCCTCCGTTACAGAGCAGTTTTCCAGAAACATCCTCATACACGTCTCCTTGGTGTCTGCACAGGTAACTTCATGTCTGTTGAATTTAATAATAAAATATCAGGGGTTGTATATTACATGCTTTTTTGTTCACTTCATTTTTTAGGATCTCATTTTTATCTCATTTTATGAAAGTATTATTCCCCCAACAAATTGAAAATTAACACAGAAACGAAACTGGTCCTCATCACAGTTAGAGATACAGTGCTGTCCGGACACCCTGGGAGTGAAATTGCCAGGTCAAGGGTACGCCAAAGGTCAAGAGTGTCCAGACCTCTAGCTGCTTTCTAAAAGAGTTAGGCGGCCTTGCATTCCCCCAGGCGGCACAGGAGAGTCCCTGCATTGCCGGCACCTTCACCAACATTCCACACCGTCACTTCTCAGGCTTGTGCCAACGTGGTGGCTAGGGCATCTTTTTACTCCTGTGTTGCTAACTGGAGTGGAACCTCTTCCCGTATGTCCGTGGGGCGTTTGTGCTTCCTCTTCCGTGCCATTCTGTCCCTTTCCTTCGCCTTTTTCTTTTTCTTATTAATTCATACAGTTCTTTACATATTCTAGATATTAGTCCCTTATTATTTAAATGCATCACAGGTATATTCCCAGTTCGTGGATTTTCTTGGGGTGTCTTCTGGTAACCGAAGTTCTAATTTATAAAGTAACCGGACTTTGTCTATTCTTTGCTTTTGTGATTGGCTCTCCCCCGCACACGTGCCGTCTGCCCGCGCAGCGCTGGTAGAGCCGCCAAGAGGAACCCGAAGCGGAGCGCCCAGCGCGCAGCGGCTTAATCTGCACCCTCCAGCCGCCTCTCAGCCCCGCTTCGTCCTCAGAAACTTATCCCGGAGCTTCCGTTTCCACCTCTGGTCTTTCCCTGCTGCACAGACCTCCCTGCTTGTCATTGCTCAAACCCCAGCTCCCACACAACCTCCTTTTTTTTTTAACAGCCCAGAGGTCTTTTTGTTGTTGTTATTGTTGTTGTTGTTGTTGTTGTTGTTGTTTTTGTACCTATTAAGCCATGGATTCGCAGAGAATGGGCTCCAGTAGCTCAGGGTCCTTCGCGCCGGCTCTCACAGGCGTGCCTCCCTGGGTGGAGCCGGCTGGCACTTGGGCTGAGCCGAGTCCCTTTCCCTTCGGCTTCCTTCTGGTTCTGCTCAGTTTCCCTTCGCGTGTTTCAGGAAGCCATCTTGGCTCTCGGAGTAGTTAATATGCTCAGGACGTCCAGTAGTTCTCTTGGCAAGCGTCCTGCCCTTAACTTGTTTGTTTCCCGCAGGGTCACCCTGCGGATTCCTCCAGTTTTGCCATGGAAACATTTGTGGGGCCTTCCTTTTGAATGGTGCCGTGCCCTTGTTGTCTACAATACCACCTTTCTTATAGATTCACGTGTGTGTAGCCAGAGGCACAACTGCATGTTTCTAAAAGGCGGAGAGGACGCACAGCGGTGCCGCTCCCGGTCCCCTCTGTCTCGGCCACTTCCGCGCATTGCCGGGCAGCGGCGGCTCCAGCGAAAGGCACAGCCGCCTCATCTCAGGAGCCACGTCTTCCTCTGCTCCGCGGGCCCCAGGCCTCACTAGGCGTCAGCTGGTTCATGGTATAGGGGTTTTGACTGTTAAAATGGGGTAATTTTTACTTTGGACACATGTAATTTATTAGAGACATAATACTTCAAAAGAGATTTTTTAAAAATCCTCACCTGAAAGTACATTGATTTTAGAGAGGAGGAGAGAGAGGTGGGAAAGAGAGGGCAAAAAAGAAAGAAAGAGAGGGAGAGAAAGAGAGAGAGAGATGGAGAGGGGAGAAGGAAACACCAATATGCAAGAGAAACATGGATTAGGCCAGGCTCTGAACCCGCAGGATGGCCCTCCAGCCTACCAAGCCACACCGGCCAGGGCAAAGCACGCGGTTTCTTAACGACGGGGTGTGTGGAAGGGAAAACGGGTTGGGGGCTGCTGCTCCTTCGCCCATGATGTCTACGTTATCCAGAACATCACCCTCCACTGGAGCATTTCCAGGGACAGGAAGCTCACCACCTTAGTGGGTGGACTGCTCTGATAGTTAGAAAGAGCTTTCGTAGGCTAACTCTGTCTGCTGCCTCATCATTCCCACTCACGGCTCTTCCCTCTGCTCTCTAGAAAAACACTGAGTGAGTGTCTTCTCTTTGACACAACCACCCTCCAGCGTGAGAGGCAGCATCTGCGTCTACCGGTCTCCTTTTCTCCAGCAGGAACATGTCACCTTCAGAGATTCCTGGAAAGAGATGGTTTCCAGATCCCTCTGTACCTGCTCATCCTCTTGTGAATGGACTGCAGATTTTTCCAGAATCTCATAAACTGCACACCCATGTTTGAGGAAACCCGCAGGGCTGGTCTGGCGGCACAGTGGGGCCCTGACCCAGTTCATGTGAGAGCCTGTCGGTGCAGGCGAAGAGGCCGCCTCACCAGAGCAGCCTCACCAGCCCTGCGGCGAGCCCTGGACCTGCAGACGTTTTCCATGTGAAAAATCACCAGCCTGCCTATATGCATCTGATCACTCCCTCTAAACGCAGGCTGACGATAGAATTCAGCCTCACTGCTTTGACTCTGCACATCTATCTTTTGAAAAAGTTTTTTTGTAAGATTTTACTTTTTTGTTTTTAGAGAAAAGGGTGGGGAGGGAGAAAAGGAGAAAAACTTCGATGTGTTAGAGAAATATCGGTTGCCTCTCTCACGCCCCCAACCAGGGACCTGGCCTACAACCCAGGCATGTGCCCTGACTGGGTATTGAACCGAGGACCTTTGGGTTTGTGAGACAAAGTCCAACCCACTGAACCACACCAGTCCAGGCTGAAAAAGTTTTCTTAACTTCTGTGTCTGTGTTTAGCTCTCCCCGCAGCTTCACGTCAAGCACAGTTTTAATAAGAAAGATATTGTTTTCCTTAATGTTACACTCCAAGGATACTGCCCTGTGGCAAGTAAGCCTCTTCGGACCGCGTCTCCATTGCACTCTGCCCTTGGGAGGCCAGGCGCCCGGCTCCCAGGAAGCAGGATCAGGGAAGGTGCATGTCTCACACCGGGCCTAGGGTGAGGCCCAGCTTTGCCATGGCTGTGGACAGTGATGACCCATGTCTGCCTCCCTGGCCAGGAACATCTGAGTAATCTTGGACTCATATCTGTCCTGTGTCCTATTGCCTAATCTTGCCTGGTCTTCATTAAAAACGTCTCCCTGCTTTTCTTTCTCTCACTTGTTCCTCCACACATTTCTCCTGAGGCCACAGCACTTATGCTGAAGATGGCCTCACAAAGATGGTGTCACCAACAGACTCCCTGGATGTTTATGAGCGATTCTCACAGAGGTGGCAGGCCCCTGCTGGGGGGTGGGGGGAGGGGTCACTTGGGTTGCACCCTGAAAGGAGGGCTAGGAGTTGATCGGAGCAGTCGCTGGAAGATTCATATTTCAAACAGAAGAAACAAAGGAATTTTCACCTGTCAGCTCCAGGATGTGAGCAGAGGTTGCCAGACTTCCTCCTAAGGGAAGTTTAGGTTGAGCAGTGCCCTGATTGTGTTTATATTACCGAGTGGCCAGTGGAGGTAAGTGATCAGCAGACTGGGAAGGCTCAGAGGCAGTGGAGGGAGGCAGCCAGGGGGGTGGGGGTGAGAGGCAGTAGAGACTTTGAGAAGTGGGATCCAGGGGTGTGCAGAAGGGATGAGGGATGGAACAGAGGCAGCAGCTGATGAATGGAGGGGGAAGAAGAGGGAGGAGTTGAAAGGGGTGATGATGCCTTGAAAAGCATGTCCTAGAAGCAGGTTAGGTGTGGGGAAAGCAGGGAGATGAGGACTCGGTTTTGGAGGGCCCTGGTCCTTTGCTGTGCGGAGATGGGTGACTGAGGAGCCAGCTCTTTTCCTTTCTGTCACAGTGGGGATCCTCAGTCCCCTCCCCTCCTGCAGTCATGAGATCCTTTGCTGTTTTTCTGTGCCTGCTTCCTATCTCAGGATGGTGCTGGACCAGGCATCCACCCCAGAGAATCTTCAGGAGGTGCTGAGTGCCCCCCACCCCCCAAGTGCAGCATATTCACAGCTAACCACCTTTTCACCTCATCCCTGCTGGGCAAGTGTGGGAGGGGCTCTGACGGCTGCCTGAGGACCAAGGAGTTCAAAATGCCGGCCATGGACCAAGAAGGCACACTCTGAGCCCTGGGCCTTCTGCAGGGCCAGGCCTGGCATCTGCCCCAATAGTGCCTCCTTCCTCCACTGCAGCATTAACGGTCCGTCCCATGCACTGGGTGCCATGTGGGTGCTGGGGACAGCACCATAGGTAACAATGTCAGGCCATGCCTATGGAGCAAGGCATCTAAGCACCTTATAGAACTTCGTTTAAACCTGTTGACAGCCCTGTGAGTTAGGCACCACTTTACCTCCATTTCACAGATGAGGAAACCAAGGCACAAAGAGGTTACTAAGTTGACAAAGGTCACACCAGAGAGGGAACCCACAAGCAGAGTTGGACAAGAGACCCCACTATGCACCACTGTGCTGTCCACTCCTCCTCCACCCCCCAGAAGCCTCACTGCCTCGGTCTACCTGCACCAGGCACATCAAGTGCCATATTCTTGAGTCACCATGCTCTTATTTTGAACCTCAAACCTTAAACCCACTTCTGGGTTTGTCCCTAGTGAGGCTATCTCTGCAGTGGTCCCTTCATGAACATGGACAGGAATGACACCTTTTCCCAGCTCTGTGGGGCTCCTCTCACTCCGCCCAGTTCCATCCTTGTCGTTCCCACTTCTGCAATGGCTCGAGCCTTCTGCCTTGGAGGCTAACCCTCTCTGATTCTCTGAGGCTAAGCCCTGCCTCCCTCGGAGGGAAGCTGTCTTGCCCGTCCCCTCCAGCCAGCGTGAGTCATCTTCCTCCCCATCCCTGAGCATCTACTGTTTATACTAACCTTAAGCTCTTAGCCCGAGAGCTCATTTTCTCTTCACCCCAAGTTTTATGTTAAAGGCAACAATCTTGTATTTCCCACTCAGCCCAGGGCCTTGCATATAGGAATGTTGGCCAATGATTTTGATGA